ATTCAATCTTCTGGTATCCACATATTGTAACATGAAGTTTGATGTCATTTCCTCGAAATGGATTTCTATTGTCATTGATTCCTTACAATATTCTGTTAATACGAGTTTTATTGCGAAAAGTGTCACAAAACATATTGTGTTTCATTTCTAATACTCTTCACAAGAACATGTTCACGGTCCTGACACTCATAGGAAACTGAAACCACTTGGGACCAATTTCGCAATCAATACAGGGTGATTTCCAGAGTTCCAAACAGGTTTCAATTCGTAGTTGTGAATGAACATGGCAATATGTGGCATGATAAAGGTGGTTGATCGTATCTCAATTGTTTGGATGATCCCAAAAATGACTCACTCAATCTTTATTCATCTTTCAAACAATAGAACCTCAAATAGGAATCATCACGATTTGAACCAATAATCTGACTCAATCAAGTATCACAATTGTGGCATGAGTATCGAGACTTCGGACCGCTTCTTGGTCACTTTGGAGACCTGCAGAACATCTCTTCTCAAAGACTCGTTTATCCAACGAACAGCAAGGCCCTGGAACACATTGTCAAGGTAGGTGTTCCCCGAGGCATATAACATCCAGAAATTCAAGACGAACACCAATTCCTTAATTATTTCCCTTGGTTCTCACGATGTCCTCTGAAAATTACAGGATATTCCTTTTCGTGAGAACCAGAACTTCAAAAAAATATCAATTTTTCATACATCCAAAAAAAATTGTTATTGTGCTCCTATATACACCCATTTCAAACATATGAAAACATGCAACTGTTATACCTTCCAATTCGTCAAACATAGTTCTACAGCTATCAGTTTGTGATTTGAAAACCATTTCAATTTGTTTTCTGAGCAATACATACCTCTGCCGAGAGAGCTGACGAACCCAAAAGGCTAATACCCTAACCTTATTGTGAAACAACTTGGCCTTGATACACCATCATCAATTGTTGACGAATTCAAATCTCCCGCAGATTCTCCATGAGAAAATTTTACGAATTCAAACCAAAAAATTCAACAGGAATCTTCATAAAATTTCTTGCAGATTCTTCATGAATAAACTTTGCGAAGATAAGGTTGGAGTCAAATTATCACAATGCATTTTCCAATTCTAAGTATTGTCCATGTCTTGCAACAACCTCGATTTTTTTGCAATCAGGTTGATAATTTTGAACTGGTATTTTTATCATGAGGATTGCTGATGAATGTTCAATTCTTCCATATCCTCACATCGATAAGAATATTCTTCTCTTCCTGAAGATACGGGGTGATTCAAGAAGTTGTTTGGAAAGTCATTCGACTTCCGGATTATTGTTTTTGTTTCCAGTTGATACTATTGAGAGAGATTCATTTTCCCCAAAAAATAACCTGAAATTATGAACTTCATTATTATGTTGAAAAGGAATATTCTCAGATATAATTATAAACATAAAAAAATGGATATGTATAATAGAAGAAATACATTGAGAATTCGCATTCTCCATGTGATGAAAATATTTATTCTTTCTTGGTGTATTCAACAGAAAACAACTACTTTCCCGGCTATTATACCATGACGAACATTGAATTATATCTATTGAACACACACGATAAGAATTTGGAAACTAAATCTTCTGAAAATCAAAACAAAATTCATTGTTATGCTTCGGAAGTCTGAATTACTTTTTCATCACAATCCATCTGGTCAGAGTAATAATGCTCGATGAAGTTTCAGGAGCGAACAATATCAAGATAATGGACTGTCGGAGTCGGAATAATTTGAGACTGAAAATAAGAAAGGGGATGCAAGAGCATGATTAGAATTACCTGCGTCATTGTCAAGAATGGATTTTTTCCGATACCATTGGAGGTAACCGAAAACAAAATAATTCGAGTTGAATGAGCGCACGAAAGGGCATTCCAATCTGATCAAACGACAGAGGAATCGATGATCGAGATATAACTGGAAGTTGGGATATTCTAAAAAAAGGATTTTTTAAGCGACTTTCTGAATCAACCTGTATTCGCAGATTGAGAAAAATATTTAGAACGTGGGGATATGGAGAGAATTGGAAATTGATCCAAAATTCTCATTTTTTTACGATAACGATATATAAGTCGTTTCCTACTGGCTTTTAAGTCATTCATAATGAATATTATAAACAGTTATTATCACAATAATTCAATACTGATGGTGGCATCTGTTGTAATTATCACGAACATTGAAAAGTACTATCAGTTCTCCGTTTTCTACTATAATGTAGTAATAGAATCCTAGAATTGAATCAGAGTGACATCTATCACAAGGAAGATGAATTAATTGAATAGGTTACTAGTTTACGAATAGATTTCTCCGCTCATAGGGTTCAACAGGTGTAATTACAGATATGTCCGTTAGCCACTAGAAATGGTTGATAGAAGCCTTGATTATATTCACTAGTGTGAATACTCAATGATAGAAGTCACGGATAACGATTATTATTGTACGAAAACTCGTTCTCCTCCCCTTCGTCTTTTGAGCAAAGTATACATCTCGACGTTTTACCTTCTTTCGATTTATCGATTCTCCCATAGAAAATTTCGAATGTTCGAGTTTCTCAATAATGTTTGTGACATCAAAGTGAATTGAGGTAATTTCAGATTGTTCAGACAAGTGCAGATTCAATCTTGGTAAATTTGATCTTGCGAGCACTTTTGATTCTCAACAGCCTTCGTTTTATGTTGCCGCCCTTTCAGAAGAACGATAGTAACATGAACTTCTGATCAATTATCTATGGATAACAATTCAGAAAAAAGAATCAAAATAATAAGTAAGGAATTTGATATATTGTTTCCACGGTTATAATCCCAATCCCAATCAATAATTGATGAAATTATTATTAACATCAACAAACTATTAATTTCAGTTATTGGAAGCCTCTGAAGTTGCATGAACGTTTGGAATAAGTTGATAATATTGAATTGGGAGAAGAGGACCACACTCCTCTTAATGTAAAAATGTTTGCTTCGGAAAATGCAAACGAAGATCATACATTCAAGAATTCCGGAGACGAGGACTTGATTGACTTGGACAATCCAATTCCTGGAAGCCAATTGCGGGCACCTGTGGAAATCATTCACCCCAACGATCCGGATAAAAATCCTGTTCTGGAGGTAGATCTCGAGGAAGATATACCTCTATCAATATTATGTGGAGAATCAAAGTATCTGTCAGGGCGTAGAATGGAAATAATAGGAAGTGACACTCCATTAGCGAAGGAAATTTATGCTCAGAAAGATTTTCCTTAATTTGTTGCAGCATTAGAAACTCAATAGAATAGTTCGCCTCTGGACATTTTCAACTGTTTTTCCGATGGAGTTGTTCTGAATCTCATTCATCACTACACCAATAACTATTGTAGGCACAATAGAATCGCAGATATGACAGTAGATATAATCTGGTGTTTCATAGGCATTTTGATGGTTAGTGGCTGTGACAAAGTGCCAAAACGTTACATGATGTATTGGGAAACAGCAGATGATATGATAATAATCTGATTCGTTCGGCACTAACTCGCTTGGCAGCTTCATCGACTCCAAAGAGAAGAAAATGGATCAACTCATTTACAGAAGGGCCATAGGACGTTCCAGGCTATCTAATAATACACATGCCTATTCTCGATATGATCGGATTGACCATATTGTCATTTATCAGGATAAACAAACGAAATGTGATCATTGTCATGAGAAAGCTCAATTCAAATGTCAAAAATGTGACATTGGCTTGCATCCCAATAAGTGTTTTAAAGCTTATCATGGTCAATGAGTATATACTCATCATTATGAGATTGTTGGAATGTTTTTCTCACATGAGAAGATATAAATCAAAAAATCAAATATTGGTAGTCTTCATTACTAGCGACCTCTTGAAAGAACTTGAGTTGAGAACTTGAGTTCTTTCAAGAGGTCTTCTCGATTTCTGTGATTGAAATCAAGAATGAAAATAATATTTTTCTACAAACGTCAAAAAATGACAAGGTTCACGCATTGATAAAAAATTGCGAAGTGACACTTCGTTTCAGTTTTCTACGTTACTATGATACCTTGCACAAAACAATGCGCGAAGTAAAACACTGCGCGAAATACCTACTTCGCGCATTGTTATGTGAAATATATGAGATATTTATATTCCAACTTTATGGTCCTCAATCGAGCAAATATCCACGAAATCATTCATTTCTGAATATTCAACAACAACTTTGTTTTATCTCTTGCAGCGCACGAAAGGATTATGTTCGTGGAACATCGTGCGTACCTAGGGAGGATAGGGGGAGGCTTTTCAAGCCAGTTCAACACTATTTTTCATATCAAACTAAGCATATTTTCACTCTAGAACTATAGTTTCTGGAGTTTGTAGAAAAGATGTTATTTGCAACTCGACCGCGAGATACTTTGGTCATCTCGACTATTTGTTTAACTCGGCTACGCCTCGTTAAAAATCAGATCTCAATCACCAAAAAGCAGCATTTCGAGCTCTAGATACAAAAATAATTATTTACCAACTATAAACAATTCACCAACTAGAATGATTATCTAGTTACCGTTCCCATGAAAAAAAAATGTCCCAATGAAATCCGTAATTTCTGGGATAAGGAAGCTATCGTCGTCGATGTGCGACATGTTCTCTAAAAGAGACTGTACCTTCACACCAATTAGCTGTCGAACGAACAAGAGATCCTTCAGTTCATGTGCGTTTTAGGTATGCTATGTCACTGACTCCATAGGCCACCGTATGATGAGCATTATTGATTGTAACGCAAAAGTGATTCGTACCTGACGATCTTGAGGTTAGGAAACGAAAATCATAACTGGAATTCGCGATTTCCAACTCATCGATCAAGTGTTCCACAGGTGCGCTGTACCCGTCTAGCCAATTATATAATCGTTGAAAAATGAATCATCGTTTTACTATCTATAAAATTTCTTATCCCCAATTCATCAAAAACGGATCAATTCTTCTTCACTTGTAGCTGTAAGTGTTCTCATTATCACTAGATTATATTCTGATCAAATCAGAAACAATGATTAAAGTTTTTTTCGGAACCGAATAATTTATTATAGAGAGATTTTAATCGTGATCATACCAGTTGAGAATTCAAATAGTTGTTTGCAGAATCTCAGTAAGTTGATGAACATTGTGAATTCCAACAGTGATATCCTAGTTTCAAAATATTGTCGCGTCAAATATGGAAGATACTATTTCAAGAAGAGGTAAGTGAGACGTTCATGTATGTACCTGATGGAGATCATCTATTCGAAATGAATGTCACAGACAGCACAGAATATTCTATGAATATTCTGACAACGTTCAAATATACTTATTTCAGAAAATTCTCATAGAATGTTCTCAGAGCGATCATAAAACATTCCCATTCTGCAAACAATATTCCATAAACATTATATCCGACATATTCTCAGGATACTCTCTTTGAATGTTCTCAAAATATCCTTTTCGAATATTCTGAGAATATTGGTTCTTATTCTTAAATCAATATTTATTTTCACCCTGACAAAACCTATTATTTTCTAATCTATATGCTGATTATCTCACAATACAGTATCGTCATCTTGCTATTCATCTCATTTATCCATAAGGTTCGAGGCGAATGAAACGTGCTACGTCCTGCTCCATTTTCGTGACGAGAAAACGTCTTGAACACACCACAATGTTCCATGGTTGGTGGATCATGGTGCTGCTGAATAAGATTGCGACGATTTCCTTCGGGAACCACTCAACTTCAAACCAAGGGTCTTCTTCATTCGACAACTCGGAATATTTCCATCTACTCGTTTGAAGAGTAACTTGTTGTGAACCCGCCAAGAAGGTTATCGAATGGGGTCTTCGGTAACAGCTTGAACCATCCTTTGGTATCAAGGGCCTGTGATGGTCGTTACATTAGCTGCGATGTCAATCACTAGGGCCAACACAATTCGAAACAGTGCGTCAGCTACCAAATGGTCCTTTCCAGGACGATGCACAATCTCGGGATCATGCTGTTGCAGCCGCACGGCCCAACGGATAATTCAACTGAATGAGTTCTTGAGTGATTTTTTTTTTGAGGTCAATCGAGAGGGAGATCAGCGTTGAGAAGTTTGGACAGAACTGGCAGTACCAGGAGGCGAGTCCAATCACTCGTCGCACCTCAGTGACGTTACGTGGGTCAGGAATTTGTAACATGGAGTGAACTTTCTTCTGGTCAACAAGAAAACCGAAGGAATTGACCAAATATCCAAGATTTTTGTACATTGAGAGTGAGTAAAGCTTTGGCAGACCTAGCTGATACTCCTTCTGGAATCTCCGAATGTTTTTGGAAGTGCAAATGATGATATCATCTAGATATATGAAAACATATCCACCGAGGTCCGCACCGACAACTCAATCTACAAATCGTTGAAACGTAGCTGGAGCATTATGTAGACCCATCGGCATACGCCCAAACCGAAAGAGCCCGCGGTTAGGAGCAACGAAGGCCGTGAGAGGTTTAGACGACACGGTTTAGGAAATTCGCCAGTAGGCTGAATTCAGGTCTAGTGTTGTTGAAAATCAAGCATCCCGCATCTCACAAAGGGCATCCGATTATCCCGGAGCATTTGTTCACGTTCCTCGTTTACTTGGCGATGTTGGATGTGGTAAGTTTTCAACTTGATTGACAAGGAATCTGTGGTGATGACATGTTCCACCAGATAAATGCAGCCCAATTTATTTGCCATCGAACAAAAATATCTATCTTCTTCAATTTTTCACGCTGATGTTTGGCTAAGGATCCCAGAGAATTCATTGTACCAACATCAGCATCCCATAAAATACCACTCATCCGAAATTTATCTGAGGCTATAGACATTTTCAGCCGAAAGTCCAACCCTAGGATGAGGCAGTGAGGTAGAGAAGGGACTATCAGAACCTCTATAATTTTGATTTGGTCACCTAACTGAATAAGGAGATTCACGGATCCAGATACCTCACAATTCTGATCATTTTCAACGGTACAAATACCGACAGAAGGGATTTCTAGAGAATAAAATTGTTTCACAACTCCAACCCTGCTGTCTTAGGACCGTCCTACTAGCTTCACTATCTAACAATACTAAGAATTTCCTTCCAAAAATCTCCACCCTCAAATAGACATTATTTTTGGCATGGGCAATCGAATAATCTAATAGTATCATATTTTTACACCAGGAATGAGACAATCGAAGCTTCGAAGAGGCTCGCAAAAAAGGTTTTATTCCTAAACAGGCGAAACCTTAAAATGGTAGTGGGGCTCCTAACGGGGCACAATCACCTCAATAGGCAACTAGAGATTATTGGGATCAAGGATGACCCCCTTTGCAGATGGTGCCTGGAAGATGACGAAACGTCATCACATGTCCTCACTGAGTGTCCAGCACTGACGCATCAGAGGAGGGCTGTCCTTGGCAACATAATTTTGAGGCCAGAGGACGTGAAAGAGATTAAGCTGAGAAAGCTGCTGAACTTCTCCAAGGCAGTCGGCAAACCCAGCTGAATGCCGTAACATGTGGGCGCACAATGGGCCCGAATAAGGAGGCCCACGTGCAGGGGGTCCACCCGCTCACCAGTGCTTCGAAGAAGAAGAAGATCATATTTTTAACGATCATCGTCGAGGGATCAGCCGGTATTTTAGAGTTAGAGACTACTAGTCGGCTATCTATAGCATCTCAAAAGGAGTGTTTCTCGGTCGACAGATAGGACAAGAGGAAGAGGTGACCTTTTTATTTACCGCAACGGAACCGAAAAATCTTTACGACAATTTCAGCAGAGGGGTTGATTGCTTTGCTCAGTGGAAATCGGAGTAGCACTCGTAGATGAAGCTCCAATTCGAACAGGTACTGCTTCGTTGTCAATGACTCTTGTGATGCGACGAAAAAGCGTATAACCTGTATAATCAATGAATATTTATACCAAAATATTGAATTGGGTTCATTAGAAAATTAAAATATTCATATCGAGTACCAGATGTGTCACGATGATTGGAATATTAAAAAACAGCATCGAATGAAATTGAAGTACCTTTCTAATGACTTATGAAAAATGTTATACATTTGACAACGATATAGCTGATACGAAGTTTTCCTGTTATATCTTTCACACGAAGATCTGTCTACGTCAACAAGAATCAATATTTGAAGTTGAGAAGTTTTTTATTATGATCCATATCTTTTTTCCTGGAAATATAAATGATGGTAACAAATTCGAGGCAATTTTCTCTATACAAAACAATTTCTAGTGTCATCTCAATTTTTAATCCTATTTTGTCAGAATATCGGTATACTTTCATGATCAAACCGGGGCAAATATTAAAAATGGCTTGCCAACTCTTGTACAATGATATTCAAACACATTTATGTTAAATTACAGTCTGTAGGTTAATCGAGGAGGTGGTACATTCATTATATTCGATTTTTTGGGATTTTCTCTCTCCGCTTCTATAAAATGAGAATATGCGTAATATTTCAATATACATATTTGTAGTGGGACAAATCAGATGATCCACCCCAAAATGTCACTGCGTTCAACAAATTTTGCTATGAGGGAGCCTAAAAGATAAATCCACTAACTTGTCAGTGACACTTTGTTTGAGAAAATGTTTGAAGAAAAGAAATATAGATATATTGAAAAAATGTCGGTGAAAACGGTTGAAGATTCGTTCCCAAAATGTCCAAAGATTAGTAAAAATTCGATATTTTTTCAATATATCTATAAATTTCTTTCCATCAAGATTTTTTTTGAACAGAGGGTCACTGACAAGCTACTGGTTTTTTCTTGCAGGCTCCCTGATAAAAAAAATTCATTAAACGCAAAGACATTTTAAGGCAAATCATCAGATCTACACTCACTCTTTGACATCATTCGAACACCGTAGAGAGGTCGGCGACCTTCCACTTTTTTATCGATACTTCCACGGAAATGTTTTTCGGAAATCTCTGCTATCATCCCTTCACTAGCAATACCAGTCTGACCAACTAGACAAGCCCAGTCAGCACATCCTTTCGTTGTCAACCTCGGAAGATGTCGAGCAGCACTTTATCAAAAGTCCTTCATCCATAGAACATCTAGGCTCTGGAATTCATTGCCTGAGGAAGTATTCCCAAGAAAATATATTATAATCTCCAAGAGTTCAAGAAAAATTCAAATACCTACCTCCTGTCCCTATCCTCCCTAGGAACGCACGATGTTCTCTGAACATTATAGGGATTTCATTTCGTGCGCTTCGAGCGATGAAAAAAGTATTGAAATAGTTTGCATATTTTTATTTCATAGAAACGAGGAGAGAACATCCCAAAAAATCAAGTAAAATGGACATCAATTCCTGTTATTTTGTACTTCAATCAACATTTTTATAATTATTACCTATCATTTTCATCAAACTGAACTTCAGTTATATTGATTTCTGGTTGACCTAGAGAGATCTTTTTGTAGAAGTTACAATAATGAAACTCCGTATCTGAGAATGATTATTACTGGTTATATATCTACTCCTCAGATGTTGATGAAGGATGAATCGAAAAATCAAATCCAATGATATTGAGGTTTTGCGTTCGAATTTCATATGGTGTTATTTGAGCTAAGCTTGAATCGAATAGGCTAGTCTCTGTCTCGGGAAAAAATCTTGAATTGTCGTTCATGAAATTGAAGCAAAGTAGGCCTCAAAAATATAAATATTCAAATTTTGTCACATTTTCGGAAAGAGCTTGTTTAGTACTATATTATAGAATTTTTGTTTTCGAGAATCGGGTTATAATCAGAAGAATAACACGGGTTGAAATTGCACACATTGTGAATGGAATCTACGCCAAAGAATGAAGAATTACATTGATGTGATAAAAACCGTCCCTAACAACACAAGTGAATCCAAGGGACTTACCAGGGACGTCCCTAATTTTATACTAGGACATCCCAGGGATATCCTGTGTCGGGACACAGTACATACTAGGGACGTCCCAGGAGGACACCATAGGGATTTTCTTCTGGTATGTCCCTGTGATGTACCAAGTGCGAAGAAAGGATATTCCTAGAACATCAAAAAGATATTTCAGGGACATCCCTTCGACAAAATGAAGCAAAACAAGTCGAGTAGGGATTGAACCAGGGACCTTCAGCTTATCACGCACGCACCTCACTCTATTGGCTAATATGCCTTCTGAAGATAAACGTACTAAACAGATTTATTAACAGTACGAAACTGAAACCTGAATAAATACAACTTTGTTAGGATTTCATGTATAGTTATCATCATTCTTGGGTGTTTAAAAATGAGGTGCATCATGCATTAATGATTTCTGTTTGCGAAAAATGATCATTTCTTTGGAACTTCTTAGACTCTATTCTTCATTTTCATCACAATTATCTTCCGGAAGAAGAGGACGAAACATTGTCAAACAAATTCAACCCAATATTTTTATGAAATTCAATGACTCTGATGTGAATGAATATCAGATATTTCAGGGACACGATTCGTATAACCTAGGGATGTACCGGGCGGGATGTCCACTAGACAACCACTGCGGGACATCTGCTGGATGCCCCAATCATGTCCTTGTACCGCGGAGCGAGGAAGGGACCTAGGACATTCCTTTGTTGTTAGGGGTTTGACAACGATATTCAATCAGAATATCACACTATTAACATGATTTTCAATCTAAGGAAAGAGGAAAATACATCCGAAACTCTGAGTATATGAGCCACAAGTTGAGTTTTGGAATAAGTATCACTTGATCAACCTATTTCAGTAAGATTCTGAGTTGGAGACCTATTGAATATTCGAGGTAATCGACAGCAGAGTCATGCATTTATTCTTGAATGGTCTGGTCCTCAGAAAATTGTCATTAGTAACGGAGGTGTAACTGATGATGTGCAAAGGTAGAACATGGTCATCACCTTTTATATCGAAGATCTTCAGCCAGCTCCATTTGTGAATTCGCATTTCTCTCAGATTTCGACGAAAAATTAGTTGACGAGCGACGGTTAAGAATTGGAACTGATCCCGGCCTCCATCCTCATCGTGAGGAATTCTTGTTCCCAGAAATACTTCTTCACCATAATGTCCTATATATTCGATGTCTAGAGCGATCGGAGATTTGCAAGAACGACTTTTCATTATGGACGATGAGAATTGGCAGCCAGATAGCCTCAAATCGAATCTTATTGATTCAAGAGTTGGGGTGAATGAGGCTTTGAAAGACCAAGTTTCCATTCATCCAGATTCATAATCTTTTGAATCACTATCTAGATCAATGTAATCTCTGGTTGTAACAAAGTTCAGTTGTAATGATACTATCAATAGTAAACAGTGATTCAAATGGGAGATAGCCTTTGACGAATCAAATAATTCATCAATCCAATTCCTCATCCTTTAAGAAACGTCCTCGCCCTCAAAAACCAAGAGTCTCATGCTCTCGTTGTAGACCTGAATTCGCTTATTAGGGGGTCAAGAAGCCTCATCAGCTGCTGGACTATGAATATTGAATCAATCTGTCAGACAACCCAGGCTGAGATAAAATCTCCCAGCACGTAACTGATTGTTGTAATATTCGCTTCTATATACTTCAGTTTGAGTTGATACCTGTGTGGGTTGAATGTAGTCGGCGAAGCATGTAACGTCAGATACTGATATTCCTCATGTATAAGAATTGTCACCAAATTCTTCAATGGTTTCATGATGGAGAGTGAGAAAATATATTTTTTGTGAATATGTGAACACAATCAATCTTTGTGAACCCTCAACGTGCCTCAATCTGATTACATATCACTGTTGTGACTGTATGTGTCAGTTGGTGTGTTGAGGCATCTTATTTTGGAATTTTGATGAATCCCACATATAATTCCATCACCATGTGTGTTAGTTCGAATTCAATATTCCTCAATTCTGTTCGATATTCGAAGTTTTAATAAGTGATAGAGCCACTTCTGTGATGCGAGGAGTGTTGTCGAGAGTGTTTCAATGATCAAGGTGCATTTAATGATCTAAGGGCATAGCTACCGAGATGCTTTGGTAGCAGTGCTTTTCATTATTCCAAATTTTTTGGGATTTTCTCTCCTCGTTTCTATAAAATAAAAATATGAATATTATTTCAATATACGTGTAGTAAGGACAAATCAGATGATTTGCCCCAAAATGTCACTGCGTTTAAAGAATTTTCCTATCAGAGAGCCTAAAAGAAAAATTCACTAGCTTGTCAGTGACAATTTGTATTGAAAAAATTTTTGGAGAAGGGAAATAAAGGTATATAGAAAAAATATCAAATTTTCACTTATCTTTGGACGTTTCGGGACCGGTTCTGCTCCCGTTTTCAACATAAGAAGAGATTATTTCAATAGCGAAGTCGTATAATGTCTTGAAGCTTTTCAGTTTTCAATGAATTTTTCTTTTAGGCTCTCTGATAGGAAAATTCTTTAAACGCAGTGACATTTTGGGGCAAATCATCTGATTTGTCCTTACTACACGTATATTGAAATAATATTCATATTTTTATTTTATAGAAACGAGGAGAGAAAATCCCAAAAAATTTGGAATAATGAATATACCACCTCCTCGATTAACCTACAGACAGTATTTAGCAGTGCTTTTGTTCGTAATTTTCAGACCGAAATAACAATGGATGAATGAAGAGATGAGGTTGAGGTTAGGATAGCTGTGAGTTTGTTGCCGCCACCACAACAAATTGGATGATTATTTCCGATTATAATTCGAGAGGTTCTGATGGAACAATTATTTTCTGGTTGACTCAGCTAGTTGGTGCCCAAATCAAATACTTACCCAATTCCTGATCAATATCTCTGCTTGATATCTCGACGATCTGAATGGTCTTGCCTGTCACAAAGGTGATCACTCGATATTTAGTCATTGATTCGTTCAATTACTATATTTAAACGAATCGAGAATACTCGAAGATCGCCAAGAACATTATCGAAATTGAATCAACAGTCAACCGAACTTGATTGAAGAAACTCTTCTTGACGGATGCCATATTCGGAATTCAACAAACTCGCGCATGCGTGAAGAAAATATGATTGAATTGGAATGGCAAAAATCGCTTCTGTTTCTGTGAGGTATATTCCCTGTGCCATTTATATGAATCACGTGTTGAATCTTCCGAAGCTTAATTGATGATATTTTTTCACTTATAGAATCTCGTCGCTCAGTTACATCTATATCAGGACATATGAGACATTCTTCGACAAATCATCCGGAGGAGTTGAAACCTGTACCGAGAGATAACTTCTTCATCTGTCATTTATTATGTTTCTTCATTGGATTCATGCAACTCATGCCTCTGATGTTTATTGGAACCGCAGCAAACGTGAGTACCCACACATATTATTGTTGACATCACGCCATTATGAAGTGAAACATATTTATGCGCATCTTTTTATCATGTCATCAGACCAAATCCGAAGTTTCGGCACCAAAAATAATGCAATGCGATATCTACCGCACACCAAACAAACTTTTCCTCTGAAGAATACAAAATGGGTTCATTCCATAAAATTCAGAACAGTGTACTTCTCCTATACATTTCAATTTTCATTTCATTACTGAATATATTGATGAATGATATTTTCATATCTCTATACATCTTCTCATTCATTTGATTTGAAAGAGGATGTAAATTCTCAATTCCAGAGGATTCACATTTTCATGATCTCCCTTTGGATGTCCAACAGATATAATTCAATGTTTGACGTGGCAAATAGCCAGGAGAGTAGTTGTTTTCTGTCGAATATTCAGAATGATATAAGGTGCATACCTTTATATGAAGAAGAATGCAAATTCTCTACTTCAGAAGATTTTGTTTTCAAATTCTTATCGTGTGTGTTCAATAGATGTAGTTCAATGTTCGTCGTGGCATATAGCCAAGGAAGTAGTTGTTTTCTGTTGAATAAACCGAGAGAGAGGTGATATTTTCATCACATGAAGAACGCGCATTCTCAATGTATTTCTTAATATATATATATCCATTTTTTTGTGTTCATAAATATATCTGAGAATATTCCTTCTCAAGATGATCTAGATTTGAACAAATAGAAATCTTTAAGTTATCAAAGGACGTGAGCGGCGTGAGCCTTCTCACGTTTTTTACTCATAATGTGGAACTTCACGAACAATTCCTACATTGACAGAGGAAGAGATATTATAGTAAAAGATCAAATGACACGAGAATGAGAAGTATATTCATCAGTTCTATACCAACTCTGACCTCATGTTTTGGTGGCGCGGATTGGTGGACAATAAATAATAATATTCTCACGCATATATGAAATGGTCAGTGGGCACACTTCAGATAACCTGTTTCTTTTTTCCACAGTACTGGTTGTATAAGTTTCGCAACACAACCATTGAAGATCAATCAGGGGAAAATCGAACGGAGTTACAATCTCTTTATCAATCATCGGCAATGGTGGCACAAACTACCCCAGCTATAATATTCACACTTACCTCGACATTGTTTGGACACAGATTTGATGCCAGGAAAATGAGCATTGGATGTCTGTCTGTCCTCATAGCCCTTTTCACCGTATTCACAGTTTTCACACAAGTCAACACAGACTCATGTGAGTAAATATTTTTGATATAGACCTTATTTGTCTTCAGTGAGTTCTGAAGGGAATCATTTCATCGAATTTATATAATTGACAAAGAACGAACCAATAAGAATGATATTCATTAGTGACACTATAAGGAATTCAAAATATTCGACAGGTTGTTGAATAAATACAGAGAGTGTCAGCTTGACCCTACCGTCATCTGATAACGAAATGATATAGAGAGTAAAAACATTGTTCAACGAACGACACCTGTGCCAATCACTATCCTGAGCAGGATGTTGGAAAAATTGAACTTTTTTGTGCGAGAATTGGCACTAGATTTTGCGAACGAAACAAGAATTATACCATTCGCTACCAATTGAATGTTATACCTCAAAAACAGAACTCTTGGCTAATTGACCAGATCAGATGTATATAACTGAATACGAGGAGATTCATCATAGCAATCATTATTATCATTATTGGAATAATATTTCCTATACGTAACCTCAAAATTTTCTGTGTAAGAATGAACCACTCAATTTTGATTGGGAATGCATAGAAAAAACGTCAGTTAGTCATCACTGGGCCAGCAATAAACAACTAATAAATGGAAGAACTGCTTCACCAATATTGGCATAGAGTCGGCCAGTGGGCGACTTCCGTGATTCAGCGTGACATTGCTCTGAAAGTGAGGGCCCATGCATTATTGTTTGCTGGGTATAATAACACATAAAGACACGCCTCCTTCACCATCAACCTACTGTGAGTATCATACCTTGTGATATATAAGTTAACGAATATGTAAATGTCAAACGGTAATGAACAATAAACTATCTACCCGTGTGAACAACAAGCCCGTTATAACTACAGATTTGTAAAAATGTCAGGCTTGGTACCGTCTGAACGAGCTCTAATAAATACAAGTTTTCATGAACCAAACGTAGAGATGCTTTTCACTCATCCTTTTTCCTCTACATCTTCCACTCAATAAGAGGGTTGAAGAGTGCGCGAGCAAGGACCTGAGCGATTTCTTCACAAACTCGTTCGAGGAGTTTGGAGGGTCAACATACTGAAAGTCCTCATGTCTATGAGGTAGCTGGTAGAGGAGGGAGGGCTTTTTGGGTTTATCGCTTATATGTTGGAAACGGTTAGTCGCAGCAACATAATTTATGTTATCAAATGAGAGCTGATGAAATTCTCCACAACTTTCTCTCAATATACTTCTTGCGAATCTTCCACAGTTTTCGAGCTACAAGCATCGGACTGTGGAGATGCAAAAATTATTATTATCTTCCATTTTTCATTGAACATTTTTTCATATCGTCGGAAGTATTCGTTTTCTTCAGGAAATGTGATGAAGGAATTATTTTTGTTCAAGAATATTTGAAAATTTTATGTAACTAGTCAACAGCTATACCAATCTTGAGGATTTCCGCGCTTATCGTCATTTTTGAATAAGGCTGTTCTTCACATTCGTGAGCCAAAAAATCTTGTATGTTACTGCTCTGGATACATTATAATGTGTTGCTACACATGGAGATAGGTTTTTTCATGTACTCAGTAGATAAAAATGTTGATTCTTGAGCAATAGGAACCTATTTTATAAAGATGAAGAAAATAGTCACTATCACTCTGAATAACTTGATGATTTCACTCCACTTTCGATGAATTCACGTCTTCATTCTCCCCGTAGCGAGAGTCGTTGCAAAGTTTTTCTGGTAATGGCATCGTCATTCTCAGTGTTGGATAGCTGTAGCTGTAGGGACATTATGTCATCTTCATCGTCGTTGTCCTCATCAACAGACACAAATCAGCATTGCTTTCTGGTATCTCCATTCACCACCATCACAATCCTTGATGCAGTGGCAATATTTAATTTTTTTGTAGGTCCTCATGATTCTGGTCATCATTTATATTAATTTTATTTGTATGTCATGTGTTATTGACATTGACTTGTGTCACTTGTTCTTTGTCATGTTTCACGTTTCATGTGATTTTGATGTTTCTGATTCTCAGAATTCTGTCTCAGCTTCCATTTGCATTTTGCATAATCTGATGAATCTCACGTGAGAGAATTTTTTGAAACTTTTCGATTCCTGATGTACCTCTTCATTAATATTATGTTGATCTGGTTCTACTGGACTTTTTCAAGATTCAAAACTACAACTACTCACATTCAGGACTGATAATTTGTTTTTTTGACCTTGGCTTTTGATAATGTTATAAAAAATGTTTGCTTCTGATATGTATCACTGAGGTTAGTATACCAAATTTTTTGACTCTCTTTTTGACTCCTTAATCATGTTCTTTATATCTTTTAGGTACTTCAATACATCAATTTTGTGTCTGATGATGGCCTGTGGCCGAAACTAGTTACACTACTATTATTAAATATTTTTTCGTGGTCGACAGATATTGAGACTTTTATTGTTTTTTCTCATAAATATTAGATCATGTCTTCTTCATGATCACTAATATCATGGAAAAATCTCCAATTTTCATTCCACTTACTTAATTGAGTTCAAGTTCCTTTTTTATCAATGAAAATGGTATTTTATAAAAAATTCGAACCATTGGATTAACGTTTCCATGGAAAATGAAGACAATTAATACCGATCTGGTATACCTCTTATATGATTGTGGCGAATAGGATCGTGCAAATAATAAGTATGTCCGGACTTTTATTGGTACATACAATATATTAGATGAATTTTTTATCTCCTCATCATCGTCATCAATGGATTTAATTTGTATTACCGAAACCCGTCTTCAACAGCATGTCACTAGTGCCGAGGTGTGTGATGCCTCCTTTTACAACGTTTATAGAAAAGACAGAGATTTGCAGTTAACTGGCAAAACTGATGGGGGCGGCTGTATGATTGCAGTTAAGAGTAATTTCATATCGTGCGAGCATCCAGAATGGTGTACGGGGCAGATTTATGAAGAGTTATGGGTTTCTGTGAAATTGGTGAATAACAGAAATTTAATTATTTGTTGTGTCTATATGCCACCCTATGCAACTGAGAATAATTATATGTGCCATCTAGATAATGTTACCAGAATCTCTGAATATCACTCAAATGATATAATATTAATTGTTGGTGATTATAATATCCCAGAATTGTTGTGGAATTATGATTTCAATAAAAAGTGTTATAATGCATCAAATGTAGTAGCAGCAGGTGGGAAGGGAAGCCTTGTTGATGTTTACAGTCTGCTCAATTTTAACCAAAGTAATGGTATAACCAATAGCTCGGGTAAGTTATTGGACCTAGTTTTCTGTAATCTTCCTGATGTTGAAGTAATCGCAAGTGATATCCCTTTTGTTAGTGAAGATCGTCATCATAGATCAGTGGAAATTTCTATAAATTTGCAAAACATTCCGAGGTATGGAAAAAAACAGTCATATGATAAACACAAATTCTATGCAGCGGATTATGAGCGGTTAAATAATGATATTGCGAATATTGCCTGGTCTGAACTGTTTTCGTCTCAGATGGCTGATGATTGTTTAAAAATATTCTATGATAGAATTGGACACCTAATCAATAGAAATGTTCCACTTAAGAAAGTCAATGCTGGGTTTCCAGTTTGGTATTCAAGAAATACCATTTCCTTGATCAGAGAAAAAGAAAAATTACATTCCAAATGGAAAAAATATAAAGACCCGGCATATTATACATCTTTTTCTAACCTGAGAAAATCCGTGAAAACATCTATCAAGGGTGATTATAAGAGTTATATTAAAAAGGTTGAGGAAAATATGATCGGTGAAGTCAAACAATTTTGGGGTTTCATTTCCAGCAAAACCAACCGTAAAAATATTCCTGATTCATTGATCCTCGATGGGCAGGAAATCACTAGCGATGATAACATTTGCGAGGCATTTTCCGAATACTTCGCATCAGTGTATGAGCCTGCTGGAAGACCCGTTCGCATAAACCTTAACTCATACCAAGATAATAATAATACGATTACTTTGGATAAAATTACTCAAAAACATATTGAAGAAGAAATTGATAAATTGAAACTTGATAAGAGTCCTGGGTTGGACGGAATTCCTGTTATATTTATAAAAAAATGTAAGCTGTCGCTATTAATTCCTCTTTGTCTTCTATTCAATAAATGTTTGTCTGAAGGAACTTACCCAACTTATTGGAAACAAGCCAAAGTAATACCAATTCACAAAGGTGGAAATAAACGGGAAGTATGCAACTATCGTCCTATTTCATTATTGTCCATATTTGGTAAATTATTCGAAGCAATAATCAAGAATTTTCTTTTTCACGGTATAAAGCATGTGATAATTGAACAACAACATGGCTTCTTCTCCGGACGGTCTACTGTAACTAATTTAGCTCCTTTCATTCAAGATGTTTATGATTGCATGGATCGACATGAGCAAATTGATGCTGTCTATACCGATCTATCTAAAGCATTCGATAAAGTTCATCATGAAACACTCATTGTTAAGCTGAGAAAGATCGGTGTACATGGTAATCTGCTCAAAATAATCATTTCATATCTCAATTATCGAAAGCAATGTGTCCAAGTTGGGAACTCCAGATCAACATTTGTTGAAGTTACTTCAGGTGTTCCACAAGGGTCACATCTGGGTCCACTATTATTCCCAATTTTCATCAATGACATTACCACATGCTTTGAAAATTCCAATTTCAGTCTATATGCCGACGATCTCAAAATATATAAACCAGTTCAATCCATATCTGATTGTCAAAAACTACAGGAGGATATTACTAGATTGACTGACTATTGTACAACAAATTACCTTTCATTAAATGTAAGCAAGTGTATGAAAATATCCTTCTCTAGACTGCATAGTGAATTGGACTACAATTATTGCATTGGGAACCAGAATCTGAAAAATGTTCCAAATTTTAAGGATCTAGGGGTACACTTGGACAAAAAACTCTGTTTTGACATACACATTGAACATATCGTTAAGAAAGCTTTGCGGAATTTGGGTTTTATAATGAGGGTAACTAGGCAATTTCGATCTCAAAAATGTTTGATATTACTGTACAACTGTCTTGTTCGCTCTCATCTCGAATATGCATCAATAATTTGGAATCCACATTATGTAAAATATATTGAGAGAGTTGAGAGAGTTCAAATCAAATTTATTAAGTACTTAAATTTTAGATTCAACAGAATGAATCATTACAATTCGTACGACTACAATATTGTAGAATATAATATGTTTAAATTATCTTCTAGAAGAACTGTTAGCTTCATAATTTTCTTGCAAAAACTGGTGTCTGGTTTCATTAACTGTCCAAGTATCTTGGGTAAATTGAATTTCAATGTTGGAAGACGTTCCTTACGATCTCCGAATCTGTTTTATCCTCAAAGATATAGAACGAATGCGTCAGAGAACTCTCCAATAACTGCTATACAGAGGTTGTATGATCTGTTTTTTTGTCATATTGATATATTTCATGGATCACTTTCAGTAGTTAAACATGCTGCTTATTCAGTATTCAGGTGATATTCATATCCACATATCATGACTCAAATTATATGCATGTCATTAGTATTATTAATGTTATTATCATTATTATTATTATTATTATTATTATTATTTTTATTATTATTATTAATCATTATTATTATTATTATTATTATTATTATTATTATTATTATTATTATTATTAATCATTATTATTATTATTATTATTATTATTATTATCATTATTGTTGTTATTGTTATGATTATTTTTGTTACTATATTATCATTATTACGTTATTATTATTATTTTTAATTTCAGAATGCTTTTTCTGAACATTGATATCTATTAAGTTCATTACTCTACGATATATCGTACCGATATTTCATGAATTTATGGAAAAATGTAATATGCGGTTTTCTGTTATTGGGTTGTTAGTTCAACCTGTTGAAAACCCGAATTGGTAAATAAATAAATAAATAAATAAATAAATAAATATCGAAGACTGGAACCTTTGGCACGATAATACACTACACTGTTTTACCACTAACCAAACCGATTTTTTAACGCCTCGACACGTGTTTCGCTAACTATGTTAGCATCTTCAGGAGAAGATTAAAACAGTTTCAATCTTTAATCTTTTGTCATGGTATTCGCGAGATTCATTACGAACTTCAAACTGGGGAAAAACAAACTGTTGTCTATGGATAAAGTGCATAGACTACATTGCATTCAGCTTGCTGTAGCTGTAGTCAAACTTGTCAATGACATAAAGTGTTGGCACTGTTGGACAAAGTGCAAAAATGTGCCTTTTGTTGAAGTCTCCTACCTCACACAAAATCACATGATTAGCACGGAGAACTGCTTCTCCTTCCACTACTGTCGGCTTTTTCCATCTGAATAGAGCAAACTATCTACCAAAAGAACGTCTACAACAGGCGTTTTCGATCGAATATTGACAATTAATGTCAAGAAATTCAAAAACTTATCACTCTTATCAGTACACAGTACACGAGGTAATCGCACTAATGGAATTGAGTTTGTTTTCCCCCAGTTTTGACGTGGCTTTGACATGGAACGATGAAAACCGAGCGCCACCTGGTAACATTGATTCCCGCGAATTAATGAGAAGTTTCGTGAGGAAGGATCTGATCAGTAGGATCAGGAAGTTTCGTGAAACACAGGTTGCTTATAATTTTCTTTACTCATATCACTCCGTATTCCATCTATAAATTTTTTCAGGGCAAACTGGATTTTTCTTCACAACAATGGCCCTTCTTGCATTTATTAATGGTAAGTGACTCATGGAGTTGATGTTGGTAACAATTCTTGAGATTCGATGAATCATATAAATTTTCACGCATTTACAATCAAGTTCCTGCTCTTTTACTATCGAAGAATAGAGATTGATTATTCATTATTTGATTAATTGCCAATGGAAGGTTCATTTATTTTGATGAAATATGACACGACAAACTCGATCCACTAGTGGCATAAGCCATTTCGAAACTTTTTCTTTTTCCGAGAGATAGCCACCGACTAATCTATAGTCATCGAACATTTTTTGTATGTACGAGTTTGATAGGTAGGTATTAATATCTTTTGCTGAATGTGAATGAAGGCTTGAAGATTTCTCCAGAAAAGTTTCGATTTCAATATTGAATCGGATGTAACGAACAAATATGTTTTGTCGATGAATAAATTCATGAAAAATACCTGTTCTATGGAGTATCCGAAACCAAAAATGAATTCATGAACATCAGAATGATTTAGACGTTGTGCTTGTATTGTCGAAACATATACAATTTGAGTAACTAGGAATTCGAGAAGAGTCAGATTTCGACATCTGGTTCCTGTCTACATCTCTATCGGAATATCATTATTATCTCGATTATCATTGAGGAGGACCATCATAATATGTCTTTCTGAAATAGTTTTTTTTTGTATGTTGTGCGCGAAAAGGTACTTCCAACCAGACTCAGCCGAGTTGAAAAAAGGGCCGAGATGACTATAGTACCTCTTTCGAGTACATATAATGCGCTAAGTATGTTCTTCGCGCATTGCTTTACTCTGCGCACTGCTTCGCACATGATGTTTTGGTAACGTAGAAAACAGAGAAGAAGTTTCACTTCGCAATTCATTTTCATCAATGCGCAAACCTTGTATTTTTTTGACGTTTATTTTACATACAATGCGTGAAGTATGTACTTCGCGTATCGTTTTACTTTGCGAACTGCTCCACATAAATGGTGTCGTGGTAACGTAGGAAACTGAAAAAAAGTGTCACTTCGCAATTTGTCATCAATGTGCGAACCTTGTTATTTTTTGACGTTTGTAGAAAAAGTAAGTTCTTTTGAATCATTTCGCAAAAATGTCTTCCATTTGTTGTTTATACAGGGTGGCCCACGGTCGATGGTACCTTAGACGTATACGGAAAACGGTACATTGGATCATCCTGAAAATTTGGTTACTTTGATAACCGTTTGTGATCTAACGATTCAAAATATTTTCAGCAATGCAGCGTTGCCACTTTTACCAAAAAGTAGCATCATCTTTGTTATTTCAAATGGAACAACCTGTATTTCATTGCGTTTTTAGATTCTTCTCGAAAAGTTCATTTCATCAATTTCATCACTTGGGGTCTAGCAGGAATTATTACAGAGATATAGGGTGTTCAAAATCGAGATTTTTCAATTTCAGGAATTTTTTGTGTCGAAACTATTCATCATTGGTCAAAACGGTTCACATGTTCCTATATTAACTTTTGATTAATTATCTACCGACATTTAATTGGAAAAAATACAGGATGGTCTAAGATATTTTACTGAGAACAAACAAAAACAAGCTAATAAAATATGATGATCAAATCAAACACCGATAGAAAACAAAAAAACATCTTGTGAGAAAAAAGCCAAAATCAAGTTGAACATGACATAAAACGTTAACAAGACTTCTAAATATGGTGAACTAGTGTGAACTTTGACCAGGCCAGATCTGTGTACTTCATTTGACAGCTGTGAAAAATTTTCGGAATGACGAAGCTCACCTAATTGGTACGTCACACCGACGTGTTTTTAGACGTCATAGATACATCACTGCAACGTCATAAGAGTAACGGTTTCAATATAGGTATATCTCAACAATCATTTGTATATATACATAGCTTGTTGGTTTCCGAGATATACAGCGTGTCGAAGTTTTTCAGAAAAAAGTTTTCTCCTACTTTTCGGGTAAATCAATAATTCCAATAAAACTTGCATGTTGATTTGCTTTCATGAGTTATACTCCTGTTTCACATGATGATATATAAGTATCCATGGTTCAGAGAACCATGGATACTTGGAGGGAAAAGTGGACATCGACAGGACGTCCCTGCAACGTCAAGAAACTGACGTCTTCTTTTACCGATCCAGGTGACGTTCACTCGACGTCGAAACGATGACGTGATTATCACGTCATAGTGACGTCATAAATTGGTCGTGTGTGACGTCTCTGACGAAAAATCACCAATTAGGGACGTCACATTGACGTGATCATTCGTCATCTGGTTGCCTGGAATATAATTCTGTGGTATGATCCCGTCATAATAATTATGTAACTTCTGGTGGTTGTCTTTGGAAGTTTACAAATCACTCATATCCTAGGAACCATAAATGTGATCCAACATGTCATTAAAATAATTAATTTTATGCAATTATCGTTCTGAAAATTTTTCCAAAGAAGGCAATATTATGGGTGTTATTCTATCAAATTTTCCGTTTCAACCTTGACCTACTTTGAGTTGAGATAGAGTTATTCTAGAAACTGTTTAGTCGCATGAGTCGAGCAAGAGTGATTCTAACTTCTCATTTCACGCCCTCTAAAGAGTGATGAGGCCACGCTTGTCAGCACTGACATATCCGAATTGATGGTTACCATTCATTGAGCTGGCAAAAGAAATATCTCAAGTGTTCGTAAAATCTCCAAATTCTAATCTCCATGTGACATTCCATCTCTTACATAGCCCATTGTTATCCCTAGTGATTCACACGAGACCAACGAGACGAGACTTTCATAAAGTCTCGTCTCGTCTCGCCGATGAACTATGAAGTCTTGTCTCGAGTCTCGTCTCGCAGCCTGAAGTCTCGTCTTGTCTCGCGTCTCGTAAGAGAGTCTCGCAAATGTATCACAATTACGTCATGCATAATCTTGTTCCAGTCTAGTACGGGATATTTACCTTTACCTACTTTTTAGGTATAATGTAGAAGTAGGAAGAGAAAATTACAACAATAATAACATTATTTATTGGAAAGTAAGTACCTAATAGGTACATACTTACATCATACATCTAAACAAGAGAAAAAAACATAACATTATATATTCGAATGTTATAAAAATGAAATGAAAAGTAACACGTATATTCTTGACAAATAAACAGAACAAAATCTTCAATCCAACATTATTTTTCTTATTTAAGAAATAGGTATCTCAGATAAAAACCTTCATCAGTCAGATCAGCGTTCACCATCACAAATGTTTTTGTTTTTCACCCAGTCGATAAGACATAAAGTTATTCTTTACCACAGACTATTTAGCACAGAATGACTTATTTATAGATTTTCAGGTAGTCATTCCATTTGCGATCTGTCGTTATTGCAGAATTGCCTTTATATTCCGCCGCCGTAAGAGAGAGAATAGTCCGTTTTCATTTCACGCATTACGTCGTTTTACAACAATCATGGATTGGGTTTTTAAAGTATTCATGAATGAAATAATTTGTCTATCTGTGCTAAATAGTCTGGATTATATCTAAATATGTATATTATGAATGAAATTCTCAAGTTTGCAGTAGGCACGCAGAAATATTTACCTGCGAGACTCTCGCACGAGACACGAGAAGTCTTGCACGAGACTCGAGACGAGACCAATGAAAGTCTCGTATCGTCTTGTCCGAGTCTCGTCTCGAGTCTTGTCTCGAAAACGAGACGAGACCATGCGAGACTCTCGAAAACAAGACTCTCGCGGGCACCACTAGTTATCCCATGTGTTTGTTAAGCTATTCAACAACATGACAAGCGTCTTCTCACTCTTTGGAGAACGTGAAATTGTATTCTCAAAGCACTGTTTCTCAAGCGATAACAGGGTAACGGGATGAATTCCATTGATTACTGCAAAATAAACATTTCATGAGAGAGGCTCCTCTTGTCGAAGTGATGAGTAGCAATTCAACATCATCCACCAACAGGTTGAATCAACGAATCATTCGATATTCCGAATGTTCTTTTTATTTCAGCTACAGTGGCCACCTTCCAAATAGCGACATTAGTCATTGTATCGAGATTTCCCAGAGATTACATGAAAGCGTTCCTCTTAGGCCAAGCTGGAAATATCATGTCGGATATTCTTCAAGTGATAAGTATCACATTCACGGACTCTGACGTGACAGGAGCCTTGATCTTCTTCACTGCTGGGATATTCCTCATAATAACCAATTTGGTACTCTTTCTGGTGGCGCCTTATACGGAAGCATACAAGGAATACGTTATGGAAGAGGAAAAAACTGGCAATGGTGGTGCACAGAAAATAAATTGGAGTGAATCAAAGCAAGTTGTTAAAGGGATATGGCCAGCATTAGCACTCATGTCTTTGGCATTGCTGTGCACGTATAGTATTCATCCATCAGTGACGACTCTAGTTGTTTCGGAGTTCAGCGGAGAAAAAACTGCATGGACAAGTAAGTTATAATAATAATAATCATAATAATGAAGTCGTTTATTTAAATACCGAAAGAGGTAGGTATGTTGCTAGGCAACACATTTAGTACCTAGGAGCTACAGTTGAACTTCAGCTCCTAGGAACTAGGAAGGATGTACTAGAGGTCATCAAGAATAAACAACATTGTTATGATTGGTTATTTGGGTTGTGACGCGTACCTGATTTTTTGCCGATTTCGACAAATTTGGCACTTCATACCCATGCTGGAGATTGAAATACACCTTAGTATTGTCTTCTAGTACTCCCACTAGTGTATATGTTACCGTGAAAGACCAAAATTGATGATTGTTAACAAACACCGGTTAATGTCGACACACACCAAATGTATTCTTGAAGGACGAAACAATTATTAGTTTCGATATAAATTTGGTCCTTTACCGGTATATGTCGACAAGCACATAAAAGATTTGATCGATGTCGGAAACGACGGGTCCTAACCACTGAACTATAACTATAGTTCAGTGGTCCTAACAGGTTTTTGTGTAGTTTCTTTGCTTCCCTTCGCTTTAGTGTGGGCTTGTCGCCAGTCTCACTCAAGGTTTGATTGATACTTGATAGTGGTATTATATGATTTGTACTCGATGGCTACTGCAGTGAAAATCAAATAAAAATGGCACATTGTAGCAGCTTTCCACCCGTTATCAATTTGCAATTTGCAGAGAAAAGTTAATTTCCATGGATGAGAATTCAGCTCAAGAAATTTCGGTAAGAGAAGCAGCTTCTGCTAATTCAGAAAGCGGAGGGCAAGGCTGTCAAAACAAGAGCCTTTTGTGTAATTCAAAGTGTCATGGTAGCTTATGTCGTTACAATAAATAAGGTTGCAATGCATTCACTTTGAAATAAAATGCATTTTTTTTATATTAATATTATGTTTGTTGTGTTTGTCTCAAGTTCAACAACTTCTTTATGTTCATTTGGAAATTTCTTCCATGATTCAATCAAAATAAATAATAACCTATAGAGCTTCATTTTGTTCTCTTCTTATGAAAAATTCTTTCGGACATACACAATGAGTATATGATAAATGTTGACATTCGCTGGTGGAAGTTAGAAATAATGATATTTGATGAATATATCGTACATACGCCAAGTAACTTGGTGAATTTTGACATTCACTGGTATATCCTGACAATCAACGGCTTCCACGGTAACATATATAATCAAGGATATAGTTGAGTATTTTTGTTTTGATCAGGAAAGCCTTCAAGATTCACGTACTTGCTTGATCTGTATGAGATTCGTTATTCTCGGGATGGATCAGTTGTTCTTGAATAATGACAGCCAGCAATAGTTTTTTGTCACAGTAGAGTATGGAGAAAAATGAATAATCTCTATTATTATTGTTGATATGCTCACTAACCTAACATTTTTCACTTCCACGTCTTGTTCCTATACCTACCTGGCACTAGCGCGGTATTTGCCATTAGAGTATCTGGTCCATACACAGATATGTCACTCTGTGATTGTATTTATATTGAATAAACTACAATTCGAACATCCTTGGAAATTGTATAAACCTGCTGTTAATGCAGGTAGAATATTCTCACCACTCGGATTATTTATTGCATTGCATACATATAGCACGGCATTGGTGGTTACTTACTTCACATATTCATTTTTATTCGGATCAAAAGTGTATTTGTTTGACAAGCGAATTTTGCATTTGCGAGGCGGAGCGTTTAGCTAATGAAACAATCTACCATCATTATATACCCACATATACATTCAATAAATTAGGTTAGAAGACTATATGCACATTGAGGAGGCAGATATGAAAGGTACATGGTTCAGTCACTATTATTATCATTCAGAATACGGGTTCCATAGGAAAATGTTGGGACTTTTTCAGATTCAGGAAAAACGTGAACACAATAAGATGTAGTTTTCTCTTACTGGCTCCTTATAGAAACATAGCCCCTGATGGTCCTGCTGAAAATGTTTTCTCTTCGATACCCCCTGAAGTATGATTGGTTGCAAGTCCCATCAGATGCGTAAAGCGCTTTGGGGTGTATTATACCCAAAATCTCCACTATTGTTACATTCGATTGCTCAACGAATATTTGAATATTGCATTAGATAAATCGTGAGTAGCTGATCAGTTTTAGTCCACAGAATCGTAGAATGATAATTGTCATGAGAAAGAGAACAAAGATCTTCATCTGATGGCATGTCATAATGACAACGTTATGTTACTCAATTTTGATGACATGAGGAAGCTCATTATGGGACTAAGTACCATAATGAATTCATTATGGGACTAAGTACCATAATGAATTCATTATGGTCCTAAGTACCATCATGAAATTCTATAAGGAAAACATGTAATGGTTCGATCAAAAAAATTTATTCAAAATGCATAACTATGTACAAAACTATTTATTATAAATGGTGAAAGAACAATTACTACAATTTGTAATATTAATTCCAATGGATTCTACAGTTTCCACAGCAGTAGTTGATGATTGTTGGGAAACTTGTAATCCTGTTTGGTTGTTGGCACCAAAAATTGCTTCTGATATTTTTTTCTTTTGCTCTTTCGAATTTTCGATGTCACCTTCAGCGACAGTGGTCCTGTTTATTGAAGGGCCTTTCTTAGGGACTGTGTTTGACGTGGCACAAAGGGCCCTTGGACTGGTTGAGGAATGGTGCCAGGAGCAGAGGCTCAGTGTAAATCCTGAGAAAACTGCTTTGGTCCGCTTCACTAGGAAGAGAAACCTTGGGCAACCAAGAGAGCTGATACTCTATGGGAAACCTATACAACTTTCTAGCTCAGTCAAATATCTAGGGGTGACCATAGATTCTAAGCTTACCTGGAAAGAACATCTGGACTATAAACTCAGGGAGGCGACAGCAGCCTTCTGGGTATGCAGGAAAACCTTCGGAGCAAAATGGGGACTCCAGCCTAGAGTCCTATATTGGATATATACGGCGATGATTAGGCCGATGATATCATACGCGACAGTCGTGTGGTGGCCGAGGACCAGGCTGAAAACAGCCAGATCCCAGCTGGCCAAAACACAACGCCTAGCATGTACTTGTATTTCAGGGGCAATGAGGACGGCCCCAACTGAGGCCCTTGAGGTACTGTTGGGACTACCACCACTCCACCTGCATCTTCAGAATGAAGCCAGGAGGGCCGCCTATCGACTCAACTGTACAAAACAGTGGCAGGACCATGGGCGGCTCACAGGACATTCGTTAATATGGAACGAGGCTATTCAAAGCTGTCCAGTCCTCTCAATGGTCCAGGACAGCATGATACCCTGTTACGAATTTACCCAACACTTCTCTGTTCAATTCCCATCTCGGGAAGAATGGGAAGGACCGGGACCGAGTCTGCTTCACCGCGAGGGGCACGTCTGGTTCACAGATGGGTCCAAAATGGATGGTAAAGCAAGTGCGGGAATATATGGACTGCGCCCCAGGGCCGACCTGAGTATCGGTCTGGGGGAGCATGCCTCTGTATTCCAAGCAGAAATACAGGCCATCCTGGTATGTGCACAAGAAATTCAGAGAAGGGAATACAATAACAGGCTCATCTCGATATGTTCGGACAGCCAAGCGGCTCTGAAAGCTCTGGGATCTCCGAGATTAATCTCAAGATCAACACTCGATTGCAAGTTGGCTCTTAACTCAATAGCGAGAACCAACAAAGTCCACCTACTGTGGGTGCCGGGACATGAAGGCATTGAAGGAAAAGAAGGCGCTGACGCCTTAGCAAGGCAGGGCGCCTCAACTCCTCCCATCGGGCCCGAACCCATAGTAGGTGTCCCCCAATGTGTCGGCCGAAAAGCCCTGGATGACCTGCTATGGCGGCAATTCCAGACATCCTGGGCAGAAGCAGGGGGAATGAGGCAAGCACGGCTCCATATTGCGGGGCCATGCAAACGTCAATCACACAGCCTCTAACAATTGAACAGGAGGAAATGCTCTATGATGGTTGGAATTCTAACTGGCCACTGTAGACTCATGAGACACATGGCCCTCATGGGGGTGGTAGAGGACCCAATGTGTCGACTATGCGAAGAAGACGACGAAACTTCATCCCACATCCTTGGCGCATGTCCCGCAGTGGCTCGTCGAAGAAGAAAATGCTTAGGCTCAGCATATCTGGAGCCCGAACAGATAAGAAACATTCCCATCAATAGAGTGCTGACCTTCTGCGAGGGAATAGATCTCTTCAGGGAATGAACAAAAACACATGAGGTGAGGCTTCCTTGTCTCTTAATGGGGCTCGTACCGTGAAGCCAAGGGACCCCAGAGCTGGGAAATGCGGGCTCGGGTGCCGGACTAGTGAGCGCTCCAACGTTGAGACATGTGCGGGCTCAGGCGATAAGCCGCGTGGGCTCAAATGGGCCTGTGCGGCTCAAAGGGGCCCAATTGGGCTCCGGCAGGGGGATCGTGCGGGCTCGGATGCGGGCCAGCGCGTTCTTCGGCGCTGGACCAATGGGCTCTGGAGCAGGGCCTGCATGAGAGCTCACGATAGGAGCGGGTAGCAGTCGGGCTCTGGACCAGCAAAGGCTCTGGCGGGCTCATCCAGGCTCGCCGGGAGAGCAGATGGGGAGAGCACAAGGAGGACTCATACGAATGGTAGGTTAACGTCTACTCAGTTGAGGCCGGTTCGGAAGAAATGAGGGACGAAACAACAGAGGTACCACAATGGACCCACCCTAGAGGTCTAAGTGAATTGAGGGCCCCCAGCGGGCTCACCCTCTGTCTTCCAAAATTCAAATCCAGCGACAGTATTGCTTTTCCATCCGCCATGGCGTTTCACGGTACACAGATCAGCTCCAGAATCAGCCAAAAATGAAGCAGACGATCGCCGAAAACAATGTCCGGTATATTCTTCAGGGCGAGGTAAATTCAAGAAAGTGGCAATAACTTTTGGCATTTTACCAAAGGTATGTATTCCAACGGGTTGTTTTGTGCATTTCTTATTTCTATAAGTGACACAAAAACGTAGATGGTTTGTGTTGCAAGGTCGTATTTTCACATATTGTCTGACAAGTTCTACCGAATTCAATCCTGGGATATTCCCCGAAGTTACAAAAAATTCTCGCATTACCTTTTTTTTTTTGTATTCGGTAATGTAATTCTAAAAACGGATCCTTCATCTATTACATTTTCAACAAGCATATTTGTCAATTCCTCTCTTCTGCATGCTCCACTTAGTCCAATTATCATGGCAACTTTATTAAATAAGTATGTATCATCTGATGCTTCCGTTAAAAACTTTGTAACATCTTGTTTAGTAAAAATTTTGGATTTTTTAGCTCTGTAACCTTCTGATTTACGTTTTAGTAATGCAACCAGCTGTAGGTACTTACTAATATCGACGTTTTTTCTGGTTGATAAAATACTTCTCATCATCGAATAATACGACCAAAGAGAAGATGGTTTCCTTTCCTTAGATAAGCATTCAAAGTAAGCCAACAATAATTTTTCATGAGTGATATTCTTGATCATTTTAGCAGAACACCATTCTTCGTACCGATTAAACACCATTTCATATACACTCCGTGATTTTTCCGGCAAAAGGGAGTCCACGATATTTCTCGACATTTCTTCCAAATCAGAAGGTAAACTATCAGCTTCAGAATCACTCATTTTTTAAATTATATTAAATTCTACGTAACAATAATTATTGAGTTTGACAGCGATAAATAAATATTGCCGTTACAACCTGATGACGTTGTCAAGGAAATGGCAAAGCACAGCTCACTCACTCATATTTGAAACTACACAATACTTACTCCTTTAAGAATAGTTGTCATTGTGACATGTCAAAAATGCAGTTTTTAATTTTTCGAAAATGTATTGATATAAATGCCATCAGATAAAATTTTGTATGTAATACGAATCATAAACAATCATTATGGCACACGCCGTGTTATCGGACTCGGCTACGCCTCGCCCGATAACATTCACGACTTGTACCATAATGATCGTCTTTATGATCCTTATTACATAAATAACTATTTGAAATCTCTAGCAATGCAGTTGATCACCAAGCAAATGAATCACAATATTGACAATCCACATTTGCAGAGGAAGTTACGTGTTTTGTGCCTTTCGAATGATATATCACTCGATCACTTTTTCTATATGGAATTCAGATGTTGTGACAACCCTTTGTTAGGACATTAGAAGCAAAGGCTGAAGAATCTCAAATGTGTCTTCTTCAGAAGCAAAATCTAGGTGCATTCTTCTTGTTGGAACAGTTTGTACATATATATTTAAGCGACCACTTCATACGTGAGGGACGAAAAATAAAACAATATTTCAACGGCCATTTCGATTTCACGATTTTATGAATGTAGAAACACAATTGAATCCAACACCATCATACAATATAGTGAACACTTCTGAAATAATCATTGTATATATAATTGTTATCTAACGTTTTATTGTATTTCAGCAAAGTACTTCGTTCCTGTTATAACATACACATTGGGTGATGCTTCAGGAGTAGTCGCGCGACTAGCTACAGTAGGAAGTTTGACGGTGAGTTCAAAACACCGAGAGTTCAATGAATGGGATCTGAGATCTGGCCGATACGGTCAGTGATCATTGCAAATTTACCCATACTCTGCAATGACTGACGCAGCATCCTATATACTACTGCACTTCTAATAGTTGGAGAGTCATCTGATAACGAGATGTCCTACGTCTTCGTCGAGCAATCCTCACTTGTCACGTAAATACCTGTTACCTAACAAGTGCGGGAAGTAGTTCTTTCTCGCACGCGATGACAGTTGCACGAACGACTTGGAGCGGAGTTCGAGCAAGCCGTCATGGGTGATAATAGTTATTTAACCAACTAGTGTATTAATGAGAGCGATAAAGCGAGCGCGTTAATATTCGAGATCAATAATCGCCTTTCAATATACGAGTTGGTTACAAAATTTTTCCGTCGACTACATTTCTCATTTCTCCTGCAAAGAAAAGAACTTGGTTCGCGAATTCATCATTCATCTGGAAACTACTAAGAATCACCCAGTAGCCTTGTTACTGACATTAGTGACATTAGACATTTGTCGAAATGATCAACATAGAATATAAATTCCTCGTGTAAGGAAACAGGGATTCAAATCGTTTCAGAAACTTGGAAAGACGAACCCTTCAACAGAAAATCTTCGTTGAAATCCATATTTTTGATTTAAATGCAGATTCCGTAAGTTATAGCATGAACAATGAATGCACGCGGTGTATGTTTGGTTGCCTATTAAACAATCGTGCATTAATAGACGAATTGATCATTAATAGGGGTCATTGATGAACGATTTCATGAAAATTGAACCAACTCGTTAATACGAGGTCGACGGAAAAGACATTTTCCGCATCAGTTAGGTACAATGTTTCTCCTACGAGTGCTTTGAACCATATTATTGATGAAAACAAAGAGGTTTTTGATTAACAAGTTCTTAAAATGATGCTACAAAGTTACACAGAGAAGAATTGTTACATGGATCATTTAGTTATTCCTAAACATCCTTATATTCAACAAAAACAAATCGTGCGGGAAAGTAACTTTTTCGGCAACTGCCCGGAAAGTGCTCACTTTCCGGACGCTTCATCTTTGAGTGAGTAGATTTTTTCCGGCCTATTGCAGAAAGTACGTACTAGGACGGGAAGTATTATATCGTAGTTGTCACTGTTACTATGAAAATCTTGGTAGATATGGTTTCAACAAATGCAGATGATAATTATCATAGCAGCGAAATATCGGCTGACAGCTATTTGACATGATATTAGTTGACATTTGATATCAGGAAGTTTGGTTGAGATTATCGCAATAAACTATCGAAAGCAGCTGCGATAATGAGTTTGAAAATGTCCGTAAGGAATTTCCAATGGAACAGTTAGCAGGTATATGTATTCTGTTCAAATTTCAGTATTTGATACAAATGAGAATTAATGACTAAGAACTTGTATTCTACAAAGAAAAATAATATGAAAAGGTGTCTCATTGATTTGTTCTCCGACATGGTTGCCGAAAGAATAGTGTAGTTTTCTTGGACTCGCAGACTTCCAGAACTCGCCTACGGCTCGGCCTAAAATGTTGTCTACTCATAAAAATGTAAATGTCAATAACATAATTGAACAGCGAATGATATTCCAGTTAGTATGAGAAGAATTGGAAATACTAGCGAGGCAGAAATAGTAAGGTAGATCGAAAAATCAACTCCCGTTGATTCAAAAAGAGGTAATTCCTCCAATTGCAACCATTTTAGCGAATTTTGTAAACAACGAAGCTATAAGTTCAGTACAGAATTTGACCGTAATATTGATGAATTGTGGCTTCGATATGAAGAAACAGAATGGAGAAGATTATATTGAATATGTGGTTGAAACAATGTACTCTCTCCTGATATTTTCAGAACAGCCCTTGTTAAATTACCTAGGCTAGATCTGAGCTCTCGTGGTTTAACCACTGATGAGATCATTGTGCGGAAAAGTGAAAATCCTACGAAAAAGTATAATCGTACTAAAGAGTACAACTTTCAGAACGCGAAAGTTACTTTTCTGCATACTTTTCCACGCACTTGCACAAACAACCTTGCCAAACGGCACCTCTGCCAATCATTTTCGTAAGTGAGATGGTCAAGAAGTTGGCACATCGATGTTTTGCTGGCGTTATTTGGAAAAAACTTTCATCATGTGTGATAATGAATTGAAACAAAATGCTGATGAAGAGCAATAATGTCCTCTCCGCGAACATCCGAACGTGCCACGATTCAAACTAATCTGAGCTAGTTGCAAACCGTCAATATTTCCGAGCATATTTCACCAATGTCTACAGATAATATCCGATGAACCAGAACACCGATCCACATTTCCAATGTAAAACTCACGTGGAATTGTATTGCAAACATTTCACTTGGTCCACCGGATATTATCGTTAGATAAGGGAAAATATTCTTGGGTATATTGCCGCTGTCACTGACTTAGATCATCTTGAATAGCGGCACGTTTGGATATTTGGGAAGAGAACATTATCCTCTTTATCCGCATCTTGTTTCAACTCGTTAACACGTGACCAATGCATGTCTTGAATAACGACAGCCAAAAAATCGCTGTGCTGACAATTAGACTCAGATCGAGGGGAGGCACAGGTATGATTTGGTGATCAATACCATTCAATTGCTATATCGATTGTTTGTTATCGAATCCCAAAATTTCGCGCAGATAAGCACATAAGAAAGTGCAATCTCTGAACCATTTTGTTAAGGATAGTGATTGGCACAGATGCGTTAGGTGGAATGCAATGTTCTTACATGTATTTGGGACATATGCCTTTTTGTTATCAGATGACGGTCGACATATGCAGCCGGCTTTTACACTATATGAGAAAATAATATGTACAAAGAATTTTATTTTACTAGTGTGAAAAGTGGTTAAGTGATCAATATCATTCAATTGCTTCATCAATGGTTTGTTATTAAATCGCAAATTCTCAATCATTCTGTTGAGGATAGTGATTGTGATAGTGATAGTGATGTCTTTGGGACATAATTTGCCTTTTTGTTATCAGATGACGGTCGAAATATGCAGTCGGCTGTTATTAGAATATTGGTGGACGATGGTTATACTATATGAGAGAATAATATGTACAGGGTGATCACCCTGTATAAAACAAACTAAGAGCATTGTGATGCCTCACCACTCAGGCAGTGAATATCAGTTTTTTTGCATCATTTTCTGACAGCCCTGACATATCAAATTCATTCTCCTATGTTGTCAAGTGTCATGAACAATTTGATCATACATATTTGGAAATAGCAGAATTCTTTTCTATAAAATCTGTGGTAGAAGTCCATTGTATCTCAAATTGAAGTGGTTAGTTACCCAGGGATCAAAACACAAAGTCGTCGCCACAATTTTTTATAGTGATGAGATCACTCAAACCAGATCAACGATCAACTTGAATTATTGTCACATAGGGCGCATACATACATACAAAACAATTCCAATTATACAGGGTTTCCCAAAAAAGTGTGACCGCATAATTATATATATTTTGTTATGGCATGCCATATATTTCGTGACACATTTGAGTGCATTCAGTGGTCACCTACATACTCCTGAAATTCATTCGGAATCGGTTCAGTGATATTCACGAAAAAAATGAATTAATTTCAACTCCAGTATCCGCTATATTCGTGATCAATTAGATCTTTTTCTACTTTTTCTTCAGAAAACAACTGAAATTGATTTTTTTTTCATACCGCACTAGTACTGTGACGTAACACTTCACTGCACTGATGCCGTGAAGTATCTCATTACGAAACTGAAATCACTGTCGTAATGTTCCACATTTTATATCGGTAGTAGGACAATTTTGTTTTTGAAACTCTGAGATAGTGAAATACATGATGTTCGTATATTGTCTGCGTTCAATGAATAATAACATATAATCATCATTTATTACTCCATCGTGGAGCTTCATATGTAATATTCTCTCAACTGTGATATAAGCTACTGATCTCAATACTTGCACTGTTACTATATATATTTTTTTATTTTCAGAGATCCAACTACCCGATTTGGTTAGGAGGAGCTGCTCTGCGTTGTATTATTTTTATATTATTCCCTATGTTCTGCAATGCCCAGCCAAGACCACATAATTTGCCAGTGCTGTTCAACCATGATTGGGAATTCATTCTTTTCATGATTGTATTCCAAGCTTCCAATGGGTTTATATTCAATATTGCCTTCCTCAGTTTGAAAGAGTGAGTATTGATATCATACCTGAATGATGACGTCGAGACTTGACGAGACGAGAGAGAAACACTTCTTATGGGTTGCCTGCAAGAACTGTCAGATGACCGACCCTGGAGGTGAAACATTGAAACACAACCTCACTCTTCTTATTTGTTTACAAATGATTGAAAATAGTTTTTCACAATTATTTTGGCATATGAATCGTGTTTTCTGGCTATTCATGAATTCGCGCATACCATCACATTGTGCTGTTTCACAATGCACAAAAAATGCAGCGAGAGACGATGGAATCCAGTTGGTACATACAGTCGTATTCAATAAAAAAGCGTACAAGTATTAAACATAGAAGATTCCGGTTGTGTAAAATTGGCTCAGCCAATGCTGTGTTTTTGAGAACCCATGATCATAGTCTAGTCGAAAAATCCAAAAAAGGCCTCCATTAAAATTTAAGAAGCATTTCGTATTACTTTTTGGCAAAGGGTGTTTTTATACTATTTCGACCCTGCTGATTACGAAAATGCCGGTTGCCAAAGCGAAATCGCAACCGGAAGTGAGATATTCAAGATGGCGTCCGAAATGGCATCAAAACAGAATTTTGCTGCTAAATCTCCCTTGTTTGAGGTAGGAACGCGACCAAAGGGTCTCTTTATATGTTTCCAGACATGAAGAGAACAAAAACACACAAACTAAACTCGTTCGTTGAATATAATTTCTAAAAAATATGACAAAAGCGGTCAAAGTTGCCCTTTTTGGTTTTTAGCAAACAATGTACTTTGACTAATGTATTATATCGTTCTATGCACATTTGAGACATTTAATGTAACACTTTTAAAACAAAAGATATTTCTTTAGAAAGAAGTGAAATTATTGTGTGTCTCCAGAGTTCAGGCAAGAACGTTTACAGGGAGTGCACAGTTTGATGCAAGAGACATTGGCTTTTCTACAACTGCAATTTTTTGTATTACAATGTCCTTTGCAATGACAGACAACTATTTCTGGGCACGTCTCAGGAATGGGATCCAGTGTTATTAAACGAGGAACAACTTGTTCTCTCTGCACAATCCAGCCACAGTCCTGCAGCCTAGGTAGTGACGGTTTGGGGATATGCGCATTCTCCCAAACACACACCTGAGATAAAAAAATATATATATTATATTCATTTCGTTTTCATTTCTGTCAATTTGCGTTTCAGGTACGCTTACCTGGTAGTTGCATCTCTTAATATGGAGACGAAGTGCATCAGTTGTCGGTGGGAGAAATTCTGGCTTTCTTACAGCTCCAAATGAATAACTTCGGGCATCGTTTGAGCATGTGATGCTGGAATCAACCTGTATGAAACCAGAATTTCTGTGTGTACTTCATTTTAATTCAATATCATCTGGAAGATATTTAGGTGTAAGCATTTTTACCTTATACAGTTTGACGACAAATTTCTCGACATTGCTAAGGACGTCCTCCTCAAGTGGCGACTGTCCGAGGCGTCCCAGAAGCTCGCAGTTTGTCCCAGAAAAAGCCTATCATGCTCCAACTTTCGTGCGCAGAGACATTGAGGACTGCAATGTGCCGCTGCCAAAGAACTGGAGTAACTTCTTGTTTTTATCAGATAACAAAACTGATTTATGCAGGTTTTTGTCCGAGAGAATTATGCAACATAACTTTGGCGATCTTGAAGTAGTTATCTCCGGCGGCTTCACTGAGGAAGAACATGCTCAGCCCACGAATTTGCGTCGGAATGTTGATTGCCTGAAATCATCACACGAGGAAGCTGACCGCGCATGGTTCTTCATGCCGTTCACACCACAGCTCATAACGTTGTTGTGATGACGAGGGACACCGACGTTGTTCTACTTCTTATCTACCACTTCGCTAAAAAGAAATGCTCCCATTTGTGGGTAATGAGTGGCCCTGCACGTGACACCAAGTACATTCCTGTACATGATATATTATTATGCAGAAAGCTTATGCCGGAGCAAGTCTCCCATCTTCTTGCTTTCCATGCAATAACCGGCTGCGATTCGACGTCTAAGTTGGCGTCTATCACGAAAGTTGAAGCATGGAAGGCTTTTTCTGGGACAAACTGCGAGCTTCTGGGACGCCTCGGACAGTCGCCACTTGAGGAGGACGTCCTTAGCAATGTCGAGAAATTTGTCGTCAAACTGTATAAGGTGAAAATGCTTACACTTAAATATCTTCCAGATGATATTGAATCAAAATGAAGTACACACAGAAATTCTGATTTCATACAGGTTGATTCCAGCATCACATGCTCAAACGATGCCCGAAGTTATTTATTTGGACCTGTAAGAAAGCCAGAATTTCTCCCACCGAAAACTGATGCACTTCGTCTCCATATTAAGAGATGCAACTACCAGGTAAGCGTACCTGAAACGCAAATTGACAGAAATGAAAACGAAATGAATATAATATATATATTTTTTTATCTCAGGTGTGTGTTTGGGAGAATGCGCATATCCCCAAACCGTCACTACCTAGGCTGCAGGACTGTGGCTGGATTGTGCAGAGAGAACAAGTTGTTCCTCGTTTAATAACACTGGATCCCATTCCTAAGACGTGCCCAGAAATAGTTGTCTGTCATTGCAAAGGACATTGTAATACAAAAAATTGCAGTTGTAGAAAAGCCAATGTCTTTTGCATCAAACTGTGCACTCCCTGTAAACGTTCTTGCCTGAACTCTGGAGACACACAATAATTTCACTTCTTTCTAAAGAAATACCTTTTGTTTTAAGTGTTACATTAAATGTCTCAAATGTGCATAGAACGATATGATACATTAGTCAAAGTACATTGTTTGCTAAAAACCAAAAAGGGCAACTTTGACCGCTTTTGTCATATTTTTTAGAAATTATATTCAACGAACGAGTTTAGTTCGTGTGTTTCTGATTTCTTCATGTCTGAAAACATATAAAGAGACCCTTTGGTCGCGTTCCTACCTCAAACAAGGGAGATTTGGCAGCAAAATTCTATTTTGATGCCATTTCGGACGCCATCTTGAAAATCTCACTTCCGGTGTGATTTCACTTTGGCAACCGGCATTTTCGAATTCAGCAGGGTCGAAATAGTAGAAAAACACCCTTTACCAAAAAGTAATACGAAATGCTTCTCAAAGTTCAATATCCCAAAAATTTGTCTAGTCTATCACTCTACTATCAACATTTGGTAAACATTCATTTCCGATAACCCGCTTAACGCAAATAGGATGAAGTTATAATTTCTTACCCAGACGGCACAATCATATTCTATGAATATCCTATGCATATTGCGTTGGAATATTGGCATATGCCATGAATATTTCATGTCCTCCAAAACATATAGGTATGATATGCATATTCCAGAAATATTCAAAGTTACCATGAAACAGATTCCAGGAATATCTGTGAATGTTCCAAAAGATATTGGTGGCATATGCTAGGAATATGTTTTTGTATATGCATAGAATGAACTTTCCAATCATAACTAGAATGAAATGTCCATATGGAATGTATATGTAAAGGATAGAAATGAACATACAGGATGTTGGTATGTAAAATACTTGAGGCTTGCACTTTATATATCGAATGATTTCCTTCTTCTCTTGATCGGTAGCGGTGATGAATTCAACAGGATCTGCAACGATTATAACACATAAGCAAATACTTGAATATAAAAATTGATTGAATTCACTCACCTTTGCTTTGGGGGTGCTACAAAAGTTGGAAGAACTGAATTTGTCAACATCTGAATCAGTCAGCTGTTTTCAATCGATGGTTTATTTCTTTATCTCGTTTGTATCTTCAATACAACACGAACATTTCCTCGATTTTCCATCTGACAGATCGGTAGATATAGGTAAGTACTGAAAAAATCAGGTGGGTGTTTGGTATGAATTCATTTGAGAAACCTCTACCCGAAATAGGTACACCCTTCTCAAAATTAGAAAAATGGTTTTTCTTTTTTATTTCCTCTGTATATCACTGAAGGCACGAAACTTGTATATATTATTTGTCAATAAAACTACGCATTTTGGAATGTTTTCAATCCTGATGGAGTATGCTTAGAAGGGCTTCAAATATTCAACGCCTGAGATATTTTTTTTACATTTTTTTATAAATGCTTTACTTGAAAAAAATATGGCGAATGCTTAAGTTTTAGAAAATACTTCTTGAAATCACCAAGTTATGGTAAATGAATTGGGCCTTTCAGCTATGTTCTTTCAAAAGAAGAATTCCTACAAAGAAAAAGATGTAAAATAAATATATTTCAACCCCTTTCAAGCATACCTCAGGGTTAAATCTATTTTGAAATGTGTAGTTTTATTGACGAATGATATTTACCAAGTTTCGTATCTTTTACTTAATATACAAGGAAATTAAAAAATAACAACCATGTTTTTCAATCTCCGGATGTGTGTATAACTCATCCGGAGATGAGAGGTTTATCGAAAAATAGTATACCAAATACCTTCATTCTCATCACAGAATCACCCCTTACATTTTTTCGGTGTTATTTAGATATACTCAATATATGAATTCATTAATGTATGGTCTTAGGTAAATACCTCATTGAGTGCCATATTAAGTCTCCTTGACATCCTTTTCAGTTTAATGTCGGCCAAAAGAGAAATGCATCTTAGGTTAATGATCAATTTTTCTATTGTAACTATCTTCAAACGTCTGAAACTTTATATTGATATCAACACTATTCACACTCATCGATACACATTCTAGCACTTCTGCTGAAACTAATATTCGTATGCTCTTTTCATCTGTTTTCAATAAAAACAATCGCAGAATATTCGCGTCCATGTTGATATCACGTCCTTCACTAGGTGACTGGAATGTGGAACAATAGGCGATGACCGATAGACTCGTATCGTGTCCATTCGGGATAGGTCGGCATTCCGACAATCTGCTTTTGAAATATTCCTGGAAGTTTCGAATAGCATATCTAATGGATATTCGAAAAACATTTTCAGGGAATATTCTTTGGGTATATCTAATTGATATTCGAAAAATATATTCTTTGAGGATATCAGATTAAGCACATATTCATGGAATATTCCAGGGATAATGCAATATTCATTAGAAAATTGGATGTAGTAGGCATATTCCAGGAATATGAGGTACCGTCTGGGTACACCAACTCACTTGTACGCTCTTTTCTTGAATACGACTGTACCTTAAAAGTGAGTACCCACTATTATAGTCACTTAAAAATAGTTTTCATTTTTAAATTCGGTAATTTCTCTGATTTTTCATCGTGATTCCTTCTGCAATAGGAGCTGATTGAAATACTCGTGAAATTTCAAAATGTATTCAAGAAGATTAGATTCATGCAATCAAACGGGAAGACTGGTCTGACATGCTGAGGAAATATGATCGTGTGTGTTGTAGATATTCTCAAACTATTAGCAGTACCAGCTTCTATTGCAGAAATGTCCGAATATCCGGAACAAACGCCCTGAATACGTTCATAGGATATCCATCAGATACAGAGACAAAAGATCGATATACCTAGAAATTCCAAATCAAGTATATACAATGATTGAAATGATAAATAAATAAAAGGAGATCCACAAAAGTAACACTTGTGCTTGGGTCTTTCAAAAGATAGCACACATTGTAATGCAGATGCACTATCTCCTATTATTATTAATTCGATTTTCAAAAACAGCGCGAGGTGGCGTGACGTCTCAAATAGTACAAGATTGGTAGAACTGATAATTATTTATCGATAATCGATTCTACCAACCTTGAAATAGTCAAATGATGTCAATCTGTTCTTATATTTAATTAATTTGAAGTGGATTTGGATGTGATTCCTACGAATTCGTCCAAAATTAATGATGCATAAGAACTGACAACTACATTATTCGAACGCAGTGAGACGTGAGTGCTTCCCAATTTCTGTGATTTTTTTTATATGAAGGGTATACTATCTCTTATCTATATCCATAGTTGATATCTTATGGATATCCATAATGAATGTCTATAGGACATTCAAAAAGGTCACACTGTCACATACTATGGACGTCCATGGGATATACCAGAGCCTTTTTCGGATATCTTATGGACATCCACAATATCCATGATGGATATCCATAGTATATCCATAAGATGTACTTGTGCTATCTGGGAGACGGCATGCTTGCATTGATGAATGACGCAAAAAACGATTCGTGTACCGAAATATTGTGAGAAACTATTTCGATCTTTTGATTCCCTTTTTGACAAATGAAAAAAGTGAGGTTGTGTATCAATGTTTCACCTCCAGGGTCGGTCATCGTGATTGCGACCTATTCACACGTTATTTTCTAAGCAAACCTCGTCATGTTGGGCTATAAATATAAATTCAGGAAATGAAGTTCAATAAATTCATATAAGTAGTTCACCTATGTTGCTTTTGGCAACCTGTGCAACTATACAGCCTATGCTCAGTTCGAGCCAATGAAACCAGAACCGATGGAGTTCGTTGGTTGAAATAAATGTTGGAGAGCAACACATTGGTTTGCTGCCTGGTTGAAGAATCGACTCATGAAATCTTGAAATTATTCAAGAGCAAGAATGCTAGAAAAATTGACCTCGATAATCTGAGTAGTCCACTTATTTCTTCGAGCACTTTTGTTCACATGGAATTCACGAAATATGCAATTCGCACACTATTTAGCGCACGCTATCGTGATAACGTAGGAAAATCATAAGGATCAATCAATGCGCGCACCAAGTCATCTTTGACGTTTGTAGAATGAAGATATTTTTCTCGATGGAGATATCCTATAATCAAGTAATTCATGTCAAGGTGTATCTGAAACTCATGCGAGTCAAAGGAACAGTTGTATTGAGAAAAAGCGTTCAAGTATATCAGAGAGAGAGAGATTGAAGTCATCCTAATTACGTAAAACGGGATATCGGGAATGACTGTTCAGTAAATATTGACAGTGAAGTTGTCATTGGTTCTCGAAAACACAAAGCATTGGCTGAGCCATTTTCACGTAACAAGAACTAGGATGACGTGAAGCACTCTTCTTTATACTTGTCCGTTTTTCTGAATTGACTATTATTGTACAACTAATTTTCAAGATGAAAATATCAACGATGATTGTTCCATATCATCATGAGGCATCATCACATCAAATAAGCTGAATAATGAATGATCTCCAAAAGGTGAAAAAAAAAATTCAACAGCTACCTTCTTTTCTTATCCTTCCTAGGTACGTTCAATGTTCTTCGAACATTGTGGGGATTTTCTTTCGTGCGCACAAAGCGATAAAATGGATGAAAACCCAACAAAATTGCTCAAAGTGATCCAAGGATTGAGTGTGATTACACTCCACCATATATTCAGCTGACCACTGAGGTTCAATGCGAATAACATAACTATTTTACTATTTCAGGTTATCTGGTGAAAGAACAGAAGCTGCACTCAAGCTAACGCTCATAATAATGTCTGTGATAGGAGCAATTTTCTCTTCATTTGGAATACTGGTTGTGAAGTTACTCTAACTGGAACTTCATCGATGCTCTCAACAAAGAACGTATTCGTGGGGCAATAGCAGCGTGCAAAGTTTCGAGTGATATCACTGATTACATATTCAGAATCAGTATTGCTCATGTATGTTAGACGGATATTGTGATATGCAGTTATATTTTGTTTTTTGAATTTGAGTCAGTAGATATAATATAACGAAAATCGAGAAGAAGAGAAGATAACAATCCTTTTTGTTATTTCTCAGTAGAGATAAGTTTCAATCAGGAATTTATGTAGTGGTCCCCACGCTATTTTTATTCCCTCTCTCCATTAAAAAATCATGAACTAGAGCGGACAGTCGAAATGGACAAAATGTGAATAATAGAAATAAAGATTTCATTGAAAACCCCAATTGTTTTCTTACATTATTTTTGGATCCCCATGCTTGATCATGTTTCTCAGATTCAACCAGGATAATTGTTCTAGCCAAGTGGGAATTTGGTGACAACCACATGATAAAACTAACGTTGTGCTTGGTCTTGAAATTATTCATCCATTGAACGACGCTTTCTAAACCACCAAACAGCGTCGTCTCAATGTTTAGCATGACTTGAGTTGTTACAAAGTTCACCCAACCAACTACAAAATAGTAAGTATTATAAGAATGTAAATAACATTCCGAATACGGTTAAGTGACAACTTCAGTTATTTGAACGAATGATGCTCCACCTCAACTGCAGCGAACCTTTCCAACCCAGTACACCATAATGTGAAAGCAAACAGATTCAAAATTATTTTCGATACCTATAATATATCAAATTTATGTCCAAATCCCACCTCCCTAGACAATTACATCTCTCAAATGCGACACAAGACTTGCTACGTTGAAGAAAAACAGAAATCAACGCAGAAACAATCGAAAGAACATTCTATAGATTCCTAGAAGAATATACCGTTTCAATTCCATTTATTCAATAAAAACATTTTCACAATACAAGGTGTATAAACAGAAATCTTCTAAAGGGGACATTGGACATGATAAAAATGTGAAACATACAATGTAAAACACTTAGATACGCCACAGAATCACCCTCCAAGGGAGCCCTCAGAGGCAGCCGATGCAGGCCTTGCCGATGATTTTTGTCTAACAACCCTGGTGGCAGTCATGAGGGAGCTAACTCCTAGGAGTCAACCTTTAATCCAGCTCATGTCAGTGAGTTGCCCAGGGAAAAAAAGATTGATCGTCGATTGCTACATTTTTCTCTCTAATTTAGCATTTTTTGTGTTGGAAAATAAAAATAAAAAACCAACTCCTGAAATTTCTCTGTGAAAGACACTATGGGGGATGGGGGGTGGGATAGGTGTGGGAGAGTGATTGGGATCTAATGATTGGGATCTAATAGAATGATTTCGTATCGGCAAATACACTAGTTTTGTTAGCCGATAGGCGTGCTATCTCTGAGTCCTGCTCGATGGTAATGCTCCGATAGTCGTTCAGCCGGGCCACACAGCGTTTAGACTATACGGCCTGGCCAAACGGCTACCGTTCTCGTTCAATTCAGCTTCTCAGCTGTTTGTTGTCTAGAGTCAGTCTATTAGAGATGAGAGGAGGGTGGGGGAGTTATTCAGGGAGTTCCCTGAATACATCGCTGGCCTCATAATTCAGCCCATGTTTCCTACGGATATCATGATCTGCCCTTATTCTCGTTATATCTCTTGTGAGTTCGCTATTCTGGATGTGATGTTTATAAAATTTATTTGAAACGTTAATGATGTTATCTTTTATCAAGGGTAGATCATGACATTGAGCATGCATGTCAGCCGCTCGAGTGTATCTATTACCGTTAGTAATGATTCGGAGTACCTTGTTCTGTAGCACCTGTAGCCTTTTCAGTTGAGTGGCGGAGGCGCTACAGTACACCGGACAAGCGGCGTATGTAATCACAGGTCTTATCACTTGCTTGTATAAGAGCATTCTGTTTCCCATTGTTAGTCCTGAATTCCTGGCCAACAATGGATACAATTGTCTTATGGCTGCATGGCCTTTACCAATTAATTTCGTGATGTTCTCTCTGAAGCACATACGCTTGTCCAGCACTACTCCCAGGTATTTCACTGAGGTGTTAACCGTCACCCTTGCGTCCTTGACAAGCAAAGGCCCGTGTAAAGTACTGATGGTATATTTTTTAGTGAAATTCATCAACTCCAGTCTTCTCATGATTGACACGGATCTTTGCATTGTCAAAATACGGTATGATTTTCCTGTCCAGATGGATCTGGATCTGAGTCCTGGCGACGTCTGAACTGTACGAATGTGCGTATACTGCCGTGTCATCGGCGTACAGTGCAGTACTCGTACGTTCAAACACAGGAAAATCATAAGTATATAAAGAGTACAACAGGGGTGACAAACACGACCCCTGTGGAACACCTGCCTCGAGTGGCTGACTTGTTGAAATTGTACTATTAATTTTGACTTTTATTTTTCTATGGGCTAAATACGAGTTCACGATCTTCACAATAAATATCGGCAGCCCTGCCTTAACCATCTCGGATATTAAACCTTCATGCCACACTGTATCGAAGGCTTTCTCGATATCCATCAGTACCATAACAGTGTTCTTATCCTGGTTAAAGGCTTCTTCTATCCCGTGAGCAATTCGGGCAACTTGGGACGTTGTGCTATGCCCCTTTCGAAACCCGAACTGCTCAGGAGGAATCACACTCAGGTCTTCGGCAAGAGTGTTGATCATATAAATGAGGGTCCTATCCACCACCTTAGCAATCATGCTGAGCAGCGATATCGGACGGTAGCTGCTTGGCAATTTAGGGTTTTTGCCAGGCTTGAGAATTGGGATCACCAACCCCGTCTTCAGGGACTCTGGGTAGTGCTGGTGTCTGATAATGGCGTTTACTATATAGTGCAGTTGCACTATATCGTTTTACGCGGTAAATTTTTTAGGAGAATAGTGTCAATCTCGTCGAGTCCTGGTGCCTTGTTGTGATTCAATCTCTTTATAATGCCTGTTATGCCTTTAAATCTCAGGGGGTGAGTAGTAAGAAAAATGGAATAGAATTTTATTTACCCCTGAGTTTGGTTGATGAATTACCTAAGATTCATTAGGTGTTTCAAATCTTGAATGTATTGACAACAGAAAAAGTGTTTTTAGTGCCCAGTTTGATACCGTAGAAACTAGACACTGGTAGTTCAGCGGGACAAATGGGTGGGTACGTTAGGCTTAGTAAAATACTAAGTTTGGTAGGGATGAATATGCTTTTAATCACGAGTAAATTCCGAAAAGACAAATAATGTGCTCCAAATGATACTATAGTTGGCTCAAGACTTCCAAAGTAACTGAGTATCTATAGCAATATTACCTAAACAGTGTACAATTATTGCAACAACAAGAAATATAAATTGACTGACTGAAATCAACTCTTCAGATCAGTGTAAAATAATACAATCACTGCTCAAAATCAACTCTCTGAGACAGTATGATAATATATAGCTTATTAATCAACAAAATAACTCAGTAAATCAGTATCAATGAGGCAAAAGAAATAATAAGGCCTATTTTACCGCAGTGCACTTTTGGTTTACAGGGGTATATTTTGTAGCTATACTGAGTGTCTATTGAATCAATGTCATGTTGCAATTATATTATGTTGAATGAAATTTAAAACTGATGAATTATGGTTGGTGGTAGTTTATCCCAAGTAAAATACTATCCCTGGTGGTGCATGGAACGAACTCACCAAATTATGAGCAGGTCCTGATGTGTATTATCTGGCTCTGATGTACAGGGGGATCAGGTGAAGTCAGGCAGCGTTGTCAGGTGGTGTCTCCGGTGTGTCGCCCTTCAGCCACAAACGAGCAGGCCCCAAAAACGCGAATTGACGCAGCGAAGCGTTGACTGCCGACGACTATAAGACAGTCCCAGGTCTGAGCTGATGGGGCGCAAAACTTGAGTGCGACAGTCGGGAGAGGAGGCTTTGGCCCGATAAAAGGAACCCTAGATGGAATGACGACAATCGTGCGTTATTTTACCAACACAAGGAATGACAAGAAAATAGCAGCTGATGATTAAAAGAATATATAGTACCTTGGATGTTGTGTGGGTTCCAGAAGTGGTGATGTAGGTCGGCTCGGCCACGTGGATTTCAGCCACGAAGAATCCCTCTATAGAGGCAACAGGAATCCCATCATCCCAGCGATGATAATGGATATCCCAAATTTGAGATCTTTTCCTAATTAATCCCAACACTAAGTAATGGAAAATCGAATGTTAGACAAATTCGAAATTATTCAAGAAACAGATCTCACGGCTTACTTTTTGTGACCAGGCTGGTAGACTGCTGCAGACAAAATGGTGCCTATGAAGATCGAAGGGGCTGTCCTTGCCACATCTCACCGGAAGATCACCCTTTTTTGTGTATCTTCCCCTATACTCCCACACACATCAATCACCGGACGATATAAAATTATAGGCGGGAGATATCCCCGCGAACACCCTGTACATGGCCTTTCTACCTCACCATGGTAGTGAAAACTATGTCGATAATATCAAGAGAGGTGTCGAGACCATCAGCAAAGAAGGAATATCATTAAATCACCATTTATTTCAAGTCAGAATATATTATTGCCAGTTATTATTGTTTGGATTTGAAACTTCAAATATTCAAACGCGGTCATGCGCAACTGAGGATCATTGTAGACCTGAATAGTGGGGCGAAATACGTCATCATCTTCTTCCCGTGCGATGACCCTTTATCACCATGTAACATAACCCATAACGCCCATACTTACAAGGAATTAGTGCCAAATCAACAAACAGGTACATAATGGCGAAGATATATACAGAGTGCCAAATCATCATAACGAGATATGGTGCTGATTGTGAGCCGTTAAAGCCCGTATTCGTGATGATAGCAAGGGAACTATGGGTCAATGTTCCATGATGACAATGTTGAAAATTCGAGAAGATGCATGCAGAGGTTCGCAAATAGTGGTCATCCGGCATTAGTGTCATTACCGTCAATAGAGACTAAACGTCATCAAGCTGACAGTGACATTTTCAATAATTACAATAATTACATAACAATGATATTTATTTGGAAATATAACGGCAACAATAATTACAAGAATGATACTCGAAATTCAAGATGAAATTTGGCGAAATACCTGTGGACTGAATCAGTCATGTGCGACAATTCCAGGAACCAACTACCTACCTACCAAAATTTGTAAACAAAACATTCTGACCAAGAGGTATGCAATAACGATAACTAGAAGGCTAAAAATCACAATATAATTCCTTATTTACAGCAAAAATTGAGTTAGAATCAATAACAACGAACAGAGAAATACCAATCGATAGCCAGTAGTAAACATCACAGATGAATTCAAT